GGGAATTCATGGAAATCTTGGTATAGCATTAGAGTCTTCAGGATATGAAATAGGTATGGGTAAGAAAAACCAATTTCACCTCATTTCTGCTTGAGTTTCAGTAAAGAAAAAATCATTGGTTCATTGACTTTGAGATATCAGTCATTACTTTGAAGGCATATTCCACAAAGAATATGCCAGAAAGATAGTTAACCATACCTCTGTACAACTCTCAGAAGTTGTACAACTTTTCCCCTTAGAACACAAAAAGAGGGCCCCAATGAATTGGGCAGTTGGTGTTTATCTCTGATTTTGGCAAGGAATGAAATGTTACACAGCCCAGAAAGAATTGCCCATTTGACTTAATTTCTGTGTTTTAAAATCCTTCAGAAAAGCTTGAGCACAATCTTATTTCTCATATTAAAAAGCAACATTCCCAATCTACATCCTGTTATCAAACAATTCTGCTTCGGACAAGAGGTTAATAATTCCATCTTGTGGTGGCTTCAGTTTCAGCAAGACTGATTTATAGGAGTGAAATTGACACTTTCAGAGAGCTAGTAAAAACTCTTGGGAAAAAGAAGGCAAAGACCTAATTTCTTTGTTCACAATTCTGTGATTTTGGTGGAGCTCTGTGGCTGTTCATGCTATTGTGTTATGTTATCAATTGTTGGGCTATATTATTAAACTAAACTCAGCTCTTGGAAGACCAAATGTTCCTTAGCAGTAGAAGCCTATATGGAAAACATTGTTAGAATTTTAACAATGGAAGAGCTTGGAGAAACTTCTAGATTCAATGTTTTCAACTTATGTTTTGTGGAGCCCAAAGGTTTTTAAGAGAGATTGAGGCATGAGGAGAAAAAGAGGGAAACTAAGGGAACAGGTCTCTAAGCCATCCACTGAAACCTCTCACCCCTTCAAGCAGAGCCAGTTCTATTTGTTTTACATTTGGGTCAGATTACATGTGAAATTTAGGTTTAGTAAAAATTAATATTTTTCTGCCTTAAAAAAAAAGCACCAAAGTTGGCAACTATCATTCCAGTTCAGAGGTCGACAGATTTTTTTTTTTTTGAAAGTTCTATAAAGAATTTTGTAACTGTTTTAGAGTGTGGGGCCATATACGTTATTTGTCACATGATCCTCTTTGTTTTGTTTTGTTTCTATGTTTTTATAATCTTTTAAAAAGTAAAAACATTTGTCAGTTTACAGCTGCATACAAATAGAGCTGAGGACTGATTTAGTTTGACTATCTCATTTTATTGATGGTTAAACTGTAGCCTGAAGGAAAAAAACATCCCTTCTAAGGTCACAAAATAAGCAAATGACTGAGGTAGTCAAGGTTCCCTGAACTTTGTACAGGGAAAACTCGACGGCTACGTAATTTTTTTGTTTCCTAACAAGGTCTTCTGCTCCATCCCTCACGCTCCCAACATGTTTTGAGATCTGTTTACTGTAACCACAAAACTTTTTTAATTTCTCTGCTACAAAATTAGTAGCCACAGCACACTAAGCATGTCTCCATTCAGGGAAATATATGCATATATGGATATTTTCTCAAAGTAGCTTTGTTTTATCCATTCTACTCTCTCAATCTGGGACCAGAGAGCACTGTGATATCCTGGGAAGATAACCTAATCACTAAATGCCAGACTTGTGACCTACAGAACTGTGAGCTATAATAAATGAGTATTACTTTAAGCTACTATGTTTGTGCTCATTTATTGTGTGACAATATAATATAAATACAACACTTCTCCTTGTTCCATTGTAAAGTAGGAACTCTTATTTGCCTGATTTAGTGGCACAAGGGATCAAAACGGCCAAGAGGCAGCCTCAGTTTCTCACTGTATAGAGTCATTATTGTACACAATGGGAGAATAATCTACGAGGAGTCCTCAAGAAATTCATGGAAATGTGTACTGTGAAAAAATAGGCATAGATTTAAAAATTTTTTGCACCAAAATGAATTCATACTTTATATTTTCCCATAAAATCTTTAAAGTGTTCTTGTATATCTTGGGCATTAAAAATTTGAATGGTGGGGCCAACATGTGGCAGTTAAGGCACTGGATTCCTATATGACCAACAGTGTGACAGTGGTTTGAGTCCTGGACCTCTGGGAGCTTGCTTTCTCACTCTCCTTTTCTCTCTAGCTCTGTTTCCTCTCTGCTCAAACGGAATAATAATAATAATAATAATAGAAATAATTCTTTAAAAAAAGAAGGAAATTCAAACCAAAAGAAGTCAAAGTTTTCAAATTTTGCTATTTTTTTTTTTTTGCTATTGAATTTTCAGGTGAGAGAAACTGCTCCGATTTGTCTCTTTCAATTCCTGAATTTGTGTATTTTGACCATTCATTAAACAGTATCATATAGGGAACGATAAATCAGCAACTAACCCATCTTGGAGGACATTACTCCAACCCTGCAAAGTGTTGGCATCTAAATGGTGTCATAACTATACTTCTATGTCTTCAGTGAACATACAAAACCATTTTATTTTATATATATATACACATTCCTATTAGTGGCATGTGGATGTCTAGGTAAGGTAGGCATTTACTTTGCGATAATGCCAAATAGCCCAGTGTTTACACTTGCAGCAAACAGAGTTCTAGTTGCCCCACATCTTCGTCAATACCTGACATTGTCTGTCTTTTTAACTTTTGCCATTCTTACAGGTATGTAGTAATATATCTCTTTGTACTTTAATGTACATTTTTCTGATAACTAGAAAATTGAGTACTTTCACTTTTTTCTTTCTTTTTTTTTTTTTAGAGGGAGATTTTTGCTATAGGGTGCATGTGTTTGCCAGAGAGACAGAGACAGAAAGCAAGAAATCACCCTCTAGAGAGATAGACAGACCTCAATCCCTTCTCTAGTTTCTTCTCAGCATTTTGTACATACATGTGCCTGGTGTGAGTTTTAAGTTGCTGGGTCCAGGACTCTAATCATGGTCGACTACATGGGAGTCCAGCAACATTACCATTACACTGGTCCCAAATACTTTCACTTTTGACCACTTAGATTTCCCCTTTTGGAGAAATACTTGTTGAAGACTTTTGTCCTTTTTAATCAGATTGTCTGTTTCTTTTTATTTCCTATCACTGTGTGAGAGTTATTTATACATTGTGAATTCTAAGTCTTATAGGGTTTATTTTTATGAATATTTTCTCCCAATCTATAATATGTCTTTTAGCTCTCTTAATGATGTTTTAATGAATATAAATTCTTAAGTTTGAAGAATTCCAATTTCTCACTATTCTCTTTCATATTTTATTTTGTGTTTTGATTTTGAAAAATTTCCCCTCTCCAAGATAATGAAGATTTTTTTAAATGTTTTATATAGAAGATTACTTGGTTTACCTTTCAAATTTAGGTCTACTAGTCACTTTAATTTTTAAGAACAGTGTAAAGTAAGGGAACATTTCACTTTTTTTCATACAAAAATCTACTGACCCAGATAAGGTGTCTTCTGTTAATACTTCTGTTTAAAGTTGTACAGGAAGTCCTACCCAGCACAGAAAAGCAAAATCAATAAGTAAATATAGATATAAGATCAGAAAGTAAGAAGTAAAATTATTTAATTAACATATGACACTTTTGTATAAGTAGAAAATACAAAGAATCTACAAACAAAAATATTCAAATTAATATGTGAATCAGCATGGTTATTGGATAGAAGTTCAACAAAAAATTGCATTTCCACATACTAGCAGCAAACAGTTAGAATATAAACTTTTAAAATATTATCATTTGCAATAGCATCAGAATTATCAAATACTAAAGAATAAACCTTAGAAAAGATATGCAAAATTTCACAATAATAACTACAAAATTGCCAAAAGAAATTAAAGACACTTATATAATTGTGGAGATATACCATGGTCATACACTAAAAAACGCAATAATTTTAAGATTTCAGTTTTCTACAAACTGAGTTACAGGTTTCATACAATCCCAATAAAAATTCAACACTTGACAATTGATTGTAAAATTTATAGAGAAATACAAAGAGCCAAGGGAAGTCAAAATAATCTTGAGAAAGAACAAAATTGGAACATTTGTATGATTGAATATCAAGAGTTACTCTATCTTCAGTGCTGTGACAGTGTATTTTGGTACAAGAATAGACAAATCGAACAATGGAACAGACTTGCGTGTCCAGAAATAAACCCACACATGCACAATTGCTTGATATATGATAAGGTGCTACTGTAATTCAGTAAGGAAAAGAATGTTCTTTTCAATAAATGTTGCTTAGATCAATTGAATATCCTTATGAAAATAAATCACAGTCTCTAATTTAAAAAAATATTTTCTCATATGTGAAATCTAAAAAAGTTGAACTCATAAGAACAGAGTAGAAGAGTGATTAACAGATGCCAGAGGGTGAGAGAAATGGGGAGCTGTTGGTCAAAGGATACAAACTTGCAGTGATAAGATGAATAAATTCTGGAGACATAACGTGCCAAATGGCTACTACAGTTGATCTGGCCACTGGAAGATGTAAGTTGCCTCTAAAATTTTGAGTCAGAACACACTACAGTCTATCACTGACTATCCTGTATGCTGTCCATGAGAGGGAGATGTTAGTTATGTTGTACCTGGATAGGGATGGTAAAACTGTCAACTTCCTGATTCACATCCCAACACCTTTATCATTTCACTTTACATCATCCCAGTTTCCAATTGCTAATGTCTGCATCTTTTGTTCTGAATTCTCTTTCTACTGGGACCTAGCTTTTTTCTTGCATAGAGGGTGCAAAGCCCCCAACCCCTGCTCTGGGATAATGCTACAATCTATGATTGCAGGGAATATAATCATGCTCCACTTTCTTCTCCCTTGAGGAGTAATTCTGAGGCATATTTTACAATGGCTCCCCAAATTTTACCACTGGGATTAAGCTCCAATTTCCTACGGGTGATAATGCATCCTTTATTGGATCCTGTCTTTACCTATCATACTTTCACACTCACTTAGTAATTTTTCCTTACCTTCCACTTGAATTCTTTTCTCAGATGTGACTCTGGAAGAACTTTGAACCAGAAGTGCCCTTAGAAAGCAGATCATTGGAATGAGAGTCTAGAACTGGCCATTTGGCAGCCAAATTACTACTAAGGTAAAATATAAGATCAAAGGCATTGGACTACAAAGAAATTAGGTTATAAACCTACAAAATGAGTACAAAATGTATCACATGAACCTATATTTTTTTCTCTTCTATGGTTTTTATTACACATACAGAGGCTTATGCTTTGTGTCAAGGCCAATGTGAGAATAGCCATTGCATAGAAGGCACTGAACAAGAAGCTGGGTAGATGAGATACTCAGTAGAGGTCATCCCACCTGTGTTCTTGGTCACTGGATGGCTTGTATAATGTGTCCATGATCTACATAACTATGATGATAAAGATGAAGGCTTTGTACGGGCACAAAAGAATGAAACACCTCTCCCTAAACGTGACTTAACTATTAACACTGATTAATGTCCCAACTGTTATCAAACAAGACTGCTACTGAGCCCTGGATATGTGGAATCAATCCTGAAGTATACCAATTAAGGATATTGAAAATGTTGAGCCACATCCACCTAGCTATTAGTGTTCCTTGAAATTCGCATATATTTTTAAAATTAATTTATTCACTTCTCTCATGAAAGAGAGAGAAGCATTCTTAAAGAATCTAATGTTGTGATCCCTCTGCCTGTCTTCCTTATTGCCTTCAGCATTATAGAGTGTTCTTCTGTCAATGTATCACTACAGCTGGGCCAAATTTTATATCTTGAAGCTTCTTCTCCAGAGTGATGGTATTAAGAGGTGAGGCCTTTAAGAGTTATTAAGTAATGAAGGCTGTTATCATGAATGAAATTAATGCTTTGGGAAAAAGGACCCTGGAGAGCTATCTAATTTCTTTCACCGTTTGAAGACACAGCAAGAAGGCATGCGCATGAGGAATGGGCCCTCACCTAATACCAAATTTGTAGGCACCTTGTTCTTTGAGTTTCTAGACTCCAGAACTGTGAGAAATAAAAATCTGTTCTTTATGAGCCATAAAGTATATGGTATTTTTGTTATACAAATCCAAATGGACTAAGACATACTTTCGTGGGAGTAATTTATCTTTACTAATTTTTTTTTTTTTGGAGAGGTTTTTTGCTATAGGGTGCATGTGCTTGCCAGACAGACAGAGACAGAGAGATAGAAAGTGAGAAATTATCCCCCCTGGGCGGGGGGATGGACACGCCGCAATGCCTTCTCCTCCATTCTCCTCTCAGGATCTTGAGCACGCACGCACACGTGCCTGGCATGAGTTTTAAGCCACCAGGTCTGGGACATGAACCGCGGTAGACTACGTGAGAGTCCAGTGACATAGCCATTACGCTAACTGCTGGTCCCAATTTTTACTAAATTGACATCTATCCCAAGTTGAAATTTTTTTCCCTGTGCACAGTCATTGGTCTAGTACCCCTCTCCAAAGGCTCATTCCTTTGTTTTTGTCATGGGCTCTTACGCTGACTTTAATTGAGAGACTCATCTTATAGCGAAGAGTGTTATGAGGGCATTTGTTCATGAAATTCATTGAACCTACTATAAACCATATGGATAAGAAGCTTCTGACCTGATAAAAATTGATGTTTTTCTAAAAGCATTAAGGTTTGGATATTGTCTTTTCAGATATGCTATAGTTTTTTAATTAATGGCCATTTTGCAGTCCTGAGAACCCTATGTCAGATAGTTAGATGGGTCCAGACATCAAAGGGAGAAAGCAGAAGTAACTCTTCTCACCTTCACTCCTAGTCATTTATGGGGGTAATTTGTGTTCCCTGACTGCACAAGTTTAGACTCTGACAGCTAAACTTTCTGGTTCCAGGGAAGGAGAAATGCTTCAACAAGAACATACAGTGAGAGTTTCACTAATTCTAAAAGGGCGTCTCTTGCTTGGTTTGTTTTAAGTTCCTTGTGTCAGTATATCAACAGGCAAATAATAAATTACTATGCTAGCAAAGATAGTTAACCTTGATTATTGTGAGGATATTAAGTTGCTATTGCATAAAGGAACCAGGAAGGGTAATATCTACAGATCAAGAGTCTCATTGGGACACCTGTGGGTACTTCCATGTGTAGTGGAAATCATACCCATATACTGCAACAGCTATGACTGGTCAAACGTACAACCAGGAGTTAGTCATCTCTGAGATGAAGGTCTAGTTACCCTTCCAGGAAAACAATATAAATGAGAATAAGTTTTGGATCAGGGTAAGGGGAAATCTAAAACAGTTGGTAATAGATAAAGATAATAAATATCACTAGGATATGAGGAATATAAGAGGAAAACTGTATGGGAGGCTTTTGGCATGCAAACCCCTCTCACATTTATCCCATGTACAACATAGAGCTATATTTCTTTTCTTATAGTCTTTTTATTATTGCAAGAGCTTGGCTTCCTTTCTGCAGTACAACCTATGAGTGTCATGAAATAATGCCCCTTAGAAATTCCCAACCAATGGCTGGTGGAAGTCGGGGTATAAATATCTCAGCTTCTTCACACTGTGTGTAGGATAACCAGGAAGCAGGCATTTTACACTACTTCTCAAAGTTTGACCAGCTCATTTAAGTGTCAGTTGCCTGCAGATGTAGCTGGCTTGACTCTAACTTTCATTTGCTGTTTTCTCTCCCTTTTTCATGTTCTTATTTCTCTACTTGAAATTACCTGTATGAGAATTATTTTCTCAGGATCTTCTTTTGGGGAACCAAAACAAAAATTGGAGAAAGAGAGACAGGTTATAATTGGTTGTGTTTCAGACACTGTCTCAGGTAAAATTGAGAACCATATTTGGTGTCCACTCCATACATTAAATGAGAACTTCATGGAAACAGGGAGCTTAAAGTGTAGTTCTTCAAATCTATCCCGTCTTATTTTAATACAAGCATTACTAGTAACACATGACTATAAATAGCAACCCCAAATCAAATGCTAAACTGAATGAGATAATGGGACAATAGGTATACAATGAGATTGTCCCAGTCAAATTAGGACTTTGAGTTATTCCACAAACTTATTTGACTGTGAGTATCTTTTGCCATTTGGGCTGATCTTATCATTCCATTTTTGATTTCATATTCCTGTGAACCCCAAGTAACAGATTCTTGGCTGTTTTGTTTTAGCTCTTACATTTGTCCAGTGTTAAAGATGTCTCTTTCTCTCAGTCTTCTGGATGCCAGAATGTCCTGCCATGACCCGAACCTCAACCATATAACTTAGCATCAAACTCTCACAAAGTTTTTAAAATGATCTTGTTAGTAATAATTATCTATTATTATTTTTGTGAAAAACTCAATATCTATTATTATTATTATTTTTTGGAGAGGTTTTTCATTGTTGTTGTTGTTGTTTTTGATATAGGGCACATGCACTCACCAGAAAGACAGAGAGAGACAGAGAGATAGAAAGCAAGAAATCACCCCCCCAGGGGGGATGGTCATGCCTCAATCCCTTATCCTCCATTCTCCTCTCGGGATCTTGGGCATGCATGCACACGCGCCCAGCATGAGTTCAAGTCACTGGGTCCGGGACTTGAACCGTGGATGCCTACATGGGAGTTCAGCGACATAGCCATTATGTTAACTGTCAGTCCCAATACCTGTTATTTTTCTATATAATTTATTTTCTTTTATTTTGATGTCTTTTGTCTATTTCAATTTCCCAGAACTTCAAAAGACCTTGGATATTTCCAATAGTCTAGAGAACATCCCAGTATGATTAGGAAGCAGTCACTTCTGAATAGCGCAGCTTTCAATTCATTGTCAAACCTGAACCTTTTCCAGACTTGACGAACATCCTTGGCTCTGGGGGGTATTGTCATCTCTCAGTAACTCTGGGAAACAGAGTGATGCCCAATTCATACATCTTGAGCTTTTAGCAAATAAGAGAATTTTAACAGAATTCCAAGGTACTTAGTTTGGGTCTTGGAAATTTGTCACTGCCTGTGGGTGGCCTCTTCAGAGGGGTTTGTGTGTGGGGGGGGTGTGTATGTATTCCTCTTCTTTTTTTGGATGGGTACAGCTAAGTTGTGTCTGGTGTACTGAGTCATACAGACAAATACAGTTCTAGCCCCAGACACGTTCCTGGATCATCAACTCTACATAATATCCCTTTCTTAATTACGAAGGGGGCCAAGGTCTACTTAGCAACAGGATATTCACCTCATACTAGAGTTGATTTCTTCATGACGCCTGATGAATCTCAGAAAAGACTTGTCTGTCTTTTTTTTTTTTTTCTCTTGTGACCTGTGTTTTTTCTGTGTCTTTCCAGAACGGCACAGTTAACTAAGAAAGCATTTTAACTGAGAAATTTAAAAATATCCCAGACAGTGTAATTTAACAATAAAAAAATTCCACCTTTAAGGAAGAGTAATGACAGGCCTCCTGTCTCTTCTATCTTTTGTGGAAAATCTGTGTGGCTATCTCTTTGTCTCTTCATGAAGCAGAACACTTTGAGGGTCTGGAGTCTTCTGTGCTTGACTCTGATTTGTGCCCCTTAAAAAGAATGAATTAAATTTTGTGTTCCATTTTCTTTTCCCAGGATAGAAACCTCTTTAGATTATGGGATTAAAAACGGTTTCCTTATGAATGTGAAGTGTGAGCTAAGAGAAAGTTTTTTCCATCACTTTTCTGATTACTTTCTTGAGTGTACTACTCATCTGTCACTATTTGGGAGTACACTGGCCTCAACCCATTATTGAGCATCTTCTGATGACCGTGTGATTTATATATTTTTGTCTCAATGGCATTTTCCTGATGACTCAGTCTCCCCTGGACTTTTGCCAAGTGTTGCTGATTCCTCTCATTCCCTTCCAGATGCCAATCTATGTGAGGCTGTCATGTTTTGAAGATACCATGTACCTCAGCCCTCTTCTTTAATGTTCTAAATCACTTCCAAGCTATGTACTATACCTGTCTCAGATAAGTTCGGGTTAGCTCTGCTATGGAGTATGGAAAGTGTCTTAGCCTGATTTGTGCTTTTATAGCAATATTTGAGATTGGATGACTTTTGAAGAATAGAGGTTTATTTCCTACAGTTCTGGAGGCTGCAAAGTCCAAGGTCAAGTCTCACATCTGGTGAGGGCCTTCATGGTGCATCATCCCATAGCAGAAGGCAAAAGGGCAAGAGAGCACATGTGAGAGAGGGAAGAGGACCGAATTCATCCTTTTATCAGGAACCCATCCCCACAATAACAAACCTATTCCAGCAATAATGGCACTATTTCATTCTTGAGAACAGAGCCTTATGACCTACTTGCCTCTTAAAAGTCCCAATTATCAGCGCTGCTGCACTGAGTATTAAATTCCAACACTTGATTTTTGGAGAATACATTCAAGCCAAAGCAGGAGTGTCAGTATTTTTATTTTTTTTCCCAATCTGTTGTTTCTGGTATTAGTTTCAGGAATGGAGACTTAGGATATGATTTTCTTCTTTCCAACAGTTGTTCTAGCCCTTAGAACCTGGTCTTTAGTCCCTCTCTCTGGTGCCAGTTTTAAGTGCCTTTAGACTATCTTGTACGGTTTTATAATAGTCACTTTCAATTTGCTTGACACCATTTGAGTCTAGGGCTTTAATACTCACCTTGATTTATATTTCAGGAATATTTGACCTGCAGGGCACCTTTTCACTTGTTTGTTAAACATTAAATGTATAAGGGACCTCAAGAAGTTCATGGAAAAATAAATGTACCAGGGACCTCAAGAAGTTCATGGAAAACTGGAATGAACTTCTTTTAGTGCAAAAATTTTTGAAATTATTATATTTTCATAATCCATATTTCCTATGAACTTTTGAAGACTCCTCATATTTTATGAAAAGGAGAAATAAATAAATAAACTGGAGACCAGCAGCTGGCATAATGGTTGTTAACTCCTCTGTACAGATTTTCATA